CCGGAGACACCTGGGGTGTCTGCGGAGACACCTGGGGTGTCTGCGGAGACACCTGGGGTGTCTCCGGAGACACCTGGGGTGTCTGCGGAGACACCCCAGGGTAGCTTGGTGCCCAATCCATAGTTTCTGCTGCAGGCCCACTCTTTGAGCCAGGAGAGAACGAAAGAAAACTGATGTTTAGTTTGTATATTAAAACAATTTAATTTATTTTCTTTTATATATATTTCTATCTCCTTTCTCCATTCTTTTTCTCCATAGTTTATAAACCATTGGGGGAGCAACCCCACCACACAAACATCACCACTCCTAGCAACCACCTGTTTCTCTGGCTCATAGTATATACACCCTAAACCCTCATTCAGTAGCTGTTCTCGCACTAAACCCTTCGCTGCATGCACTGGCTTCCCTGCATGCAAGCCCCGTAACATTATACCCTCATAAAACCCTTTTTTATAAACTTCTTCTTTTGCTTGCTGCAGCTTTGCTGTCTCCTTTGGCCCACTAATATTCAACTCTTTACACAGAGACACTGCGCTCAGGTTGCCTAGGCTGCAGGCCACACACACATATTTATATATTTATATATTTTTATAGTTATATATATATATATATATATATATATATATATGTATATATATATATATATGTATACATATATATGTAAATATATGTATATATATGTAGATAGTACTTGTATAATTTCTACTGGGTGGAAGAGCTCCACCCACTCTTTTTTTATACTAAAAAAAGATAAAAAAAACGAAAAAAAAACGAAAAAAAACCAAACAAAAACGAACAAAAACAAAACAAAAACAAAACAAAAACAAAAAAAACAAAAAAACAAAACAAATAAAAGAGTCCTTACCCTGGTACTTGTATAATTTCTACAGGGTGGAAGGGCTCCCCACCCATTCTTTTTTTAAATTAAAAAAGACAAAAACAGACAAAAAAAACGAAAAAAAAGCGAAAAAAAACAAAACAAAAACAAAAAAAAAACAAGAAAACAAAATAAATAAAATAAAAGATAAAAAAACAAAACAAATAAAAAAGAAAGAGTGCTTACCCTGGTACTTGTATAATTTCTACAGGGTGGAAGGGCTCCCCACCCATTCTTTTTTTAAATTAAAAAAAGACAAAAACAGACCAAAAAAGCAAAAAAAAAACGAAAAAAAACCAAACAAAAACAAAACAAAAACAAAAACAAAACAAAAACAAACAAAAACAAAAACAAACAAAATAAAAAATAAAAAAGAAAGAGTGCTTACCCTGGTACTTGTATAATTTCTACGGGGTGGAAAGGCTCGACCCACTCATTTTTTATATTAAAAAAAGATAAAAAAAGCAAAAAAAAACGAAAAAAAACCAAACAAAAACAAAACAAAGACAAAAACAAGACAAAAACAAACAAAACAAAAAAACAAAAAAACAAAAAAACAAAATAAATAAAAAAGGATTACTTACCCTGGTACTTGTATAATTTCTACAGGGTGGAAAGGCTCGACCCATTCTTTTTTTAATTTATATTGTTTTTCGTAAAAACTTATTTTTGTTTTTATGTGCTCCAGAGCCGTCCAGTCGTCAGGAGAGTCAGAGGGCACGCTCGTCACCACCCCAGTACCTGTATATATATACATTTATTTATTTTATTTATTTTATTTTTTATTTGTTTGTTTGTTTGTTTGTTTGTTTTTGTTTTTATTTTTATTTTTATTATAGAGACAGATTTTCATATATTAGAGAGAGAAAGAAACCCTAAATATTTAGTCGACACCACGCCAGTACACATATATATATATATATATATATATATATATATATATATATATATATATATATATATATATATAT